ACGATGGTAGCTTTGGAGAGGAAGCAAAGATGAAGGAACGGCATTAAAGCAGAGAGAAACAAATATTGAACAGATTTTTGGGACACACACAGGGTGAGAAAGAACGAGAGCAGGGAAGGACATTGGATTTGGAGGATATCAGGGACGGCGGGGAATCCCAGAAGACAGAGAAGAGATCCCAGGAGACCACAGAAAGCAGCACTTTCACCTGAGTCCGAAGGGAGATACAAAGACATCAGACAGGGGAAAAAAGAAACCAAGAGAGGCAGCTCTGAGCGAAGCAGAGAGAGGCCCCAGAAGCCAGGAGCGGCAGAGGACAGAGGGAGGAGACCAAGTCCAAGGTATGGGAGAAGGGCCTGGTCCAGGCTGTGCGGGTCCCAGCTGGAGGTGGGGCCTCACCTGTGTGCCCGTCTGGCCTGCACGGGCCAGGGCAGTTCCCAGGAAGGGTGAGGGTCCTGCAGCTCCATCTGGGTGACTTCTGTGAAGGCCTTTCTGCTCCTTTCTCCAGCCTCCTCCTCCTTCTCCGGCACCCCCCAAGGCAGCGCCCCAGGGCCTCGGTACCGAAGGGTGGCAGCACTGGGCAGCTCGTTCAGCACAGAGGGCAGCGATGGGCCTGGGGAGGGGCAGGGGGCTGGCAAGACCCGGGAGTCTGGGCCCAAATTCCTCCTCCCTCAGACCAGGAAACCAGGCCTCAGTCCCCTCTTCCCTCAGACCCAGGAGTCCAGGAAGGCGGGCGCGGTGGGCTCAAACGCTGTAATCCAGCCTTTGGGAGGCCGAGACGGGCGGATTCACGAGGTCAGGAGATCGAGACGATCCTCGAACAACGGTGAAACCCCGTCTCTACTAAAAAAAAAAATGAGCAAAAAACTAGCCGGCGAGATGGCGGGCGCCTGTAGTCGCCAGCTACTCGCGGAGCCGAGGCAGGAGACATGGCGCAAAACCCGGGAGGCGGGAGCTTGCAGTGAGCTGGAGATCCGGCCACCTCGCACTCCAGGCCGGGCTACAGGAGCACACGACTCCGTCTCAAAAAAAAAAAAAAAAAAAAAAAAAAAAAAAGAAAAGGAAGTTGAGGCTGCCCGGACCCTCTGCCCTGGAGTAGGAAGGGTCCGCCCTGGGATGGAGTTGAGGACTGTGGGCCCTGGGTCAGGGAAAGTAGAGACTGCACCCGGACTCCTGGGCCTGAGGGAGGAGGGGCTGGGGACCTGGACTGGTTTCGTGGTCTGAGGGAGGAGGGGCTGGGGTCTGGAGCTCCCTGGGTCAGCAGGGGAGGAGAGGGCTGG